AAAAACTAGTTAACAAAATTTAAGTGGAATTTGTGGAAAATTAACAATAAACTACGTTTTTCGCAAAATCTATTAAGGACCCTTTAATTTTTCAAAAAAAAAAAAAAACACCTGTGCGACCGTTATTATTTTACGCCCTGTGTATGATAAAAAATAACTAGCTGGAAAAAGGAGTACAAAAGAAGTACACAACTAAGAAGAGTACATTTCCATATTTTTTTTTTGGGGAGTACAAGGGAGTATATTGCAATAAAAAGGAGTACGTTTACTCCCAAAAGCAATACGGCTGGCAACCCTATTAAGGGGTGGTCACAAAATTTACCAGTGCGCAGAATGCGAAAAGGGTTTAAAAATTACCATCAACTTTATTTACCGGTAACAAAATTTTGTTACCAACGCAGAATAGGCATACTTATGTTTTATTTCCATTGAGAAATAACCCCGTTAAGTGTCGTTTCACACGAATGTTTAGCTCGAAACCATGACTGCTCTTTAATTAATATATTGCTACCTTAAATATACCCGACGAGCTGATTTTTTACCATTATTTCCAATATTTTCTCAAGGGTTGGTAGAGTATTGATCGGTCGAAATGTGTTTTTAATTGTTTGATTGGAACCACTGTAGAAACTTTCCATTCATCAGGTACGACACCATTTGTTATACTTTTGTTGATCATATTTGAACAAAAATACCTCAAGTATGTTAAAGAGTCTAAAATATTTTCCCACCAATTATATATTTACATTTTTTTACAATTCTCACTTGGTCTTCAGTAGTTACTAGAGCTCTTGATATTCGATTAATCGAATATTCGAATTATTCGAATATGATACTATTCGAATAGTGAAATTCGATTAGCAGTATTCGAATAATCGCTCACTGTCGATTATTCGAATAACCTGCTCGTAGTCAATTATTCGAATAATAACTGGTGCTCGATTATTCGAATGTTGAAATGTGTGTAGGAATAAGTATGTACACATTTAAATAAATTGAAATGTAGGAACATACGTTTGTTTTGAGACAATTTTGTAATTATTCAGCAACAATATAAATGAACAGGTTAAAAAATCACATAAAATGCATTTTACCTTCTAAGAGGAATAATTAAGTTATTAAAATGGACACATATCTGTGAAGAAACGCTTATTATTATACAGGAATGTAAGAAGGCTAACATTTTGCGGTGACAAACAACTTCTACGTGGCGTGACAATATTCCCAGCAATTGAAAAAGTGCGTTCGGACTCTGCCGATGTAGCTGGTATGCACAAATATCTTGCGGTTAATTTGAAAAGTTCCGGATAAATAGCACGGTGATTTTTCCACCATTTTAGGGGATGAATGTTGTGGCCGATCTGAGGTTCAGCCAAATAACAGTCGATTTGTGACATAACATTATTTGTTGGGATTTCACCATCAAACAAAAAATCCAAGTCGGTATGTACTACGCTGTCTGTTTCTTGGTTAATGACATTGCTTACTTGAAGTTGGCTTCTGATAAAGTCATAAACCTTGTGTTTAGTTTGCGAATCTTCATCATTAAGGTTCTTATATCTGGGGTCTAAAAATTAGGAAATTATTGGAGCTGAAACTTTTTCTAAAACACAACCCATATTGAACCTTTCAAAAAGGGAATTATGTGCAGTTTCTTTGAATATATATTTATTTGCATCGTCTTCCGACGATGCGGCCATGTGGTTTTTAATAAGACGGTGTATTAAAGGTCGCACTAAAGACAATGTCACATTTTTGCCACCACATAGCACTGCAGTCGCTTTATCAAAAGGTTTCAAAATGTCAACCAAGTTCTGCATTTCACCCCACTCCTTCTCTTGCATTTCTAGCCTCAGCGCATCGCAAGTTTTTGTAACGGTTTTATCTGATAAAACTAGGCAGATTGCATTTCGATTCAAAAGCAGCCTCTCACACATGTAATATTTGGAGTTCCAACGTGTTTCGCAGCATTGTATGAGTCGATTTTCCTTTATCCCCAACTGTACTTGGCGGTTTACTAGTGCAGTTATGGCAATATTTGAGCGATGAAAATGTGCTGTTAAATTTCGTCCTTTTTTGCAAATTTTATCGTAATCAGGTACAGCTGCTAATGCGTCACAAGCTGCAAAAGGTGAGCGCTGCACTTGATGCTGTCCCCTATATTAAAAAGTTGTTGCGCTGCTGCATTCATGACTGATGCACTGTCGTGCGTTATCGCTTGCGTTTTGTCGGAAATGTTCCAATCGGCTAAAACTACTTCTATTGCGGATGCAATGTTTTCAGCATTTGGTCGGTCTATAAATACAAATTATTTAAACAATTGACATGTCTTAAAATTAAAACACAAATTATGCATGTATGTATGAGTGTATGTGTTTATTTTATATATCTACATACAAGGTAGTTATTTTAATAGATTTACCTTCTAGTTGCTCGTTACAAAGTGTAACTTTGCACAATTCACTATTTTTGTCAATATACTGGGCTTCGACTGATAAATAACAATCTTGAGTTCTTGATGTCCATTCGTCCACTGAAATTGATGCGCTTTCTACCTCCGCCAAATCGTTTGCAATTTTTTCTCTTACGTCATTATAAAACAATTGTAAGCGTGAGAGTATACTTTGTTGAGAGGGAACTTTGTAACCTGGTTCCAATAACTTCATAAAGTCGCGAAAGCCTTCAGAGGAAAGGAAGGAGATTGGTAACATGTTACTTGCGATTAGGCGTGCCACTCCACGAGATATCAATTCCTGACGTTCAAATGTGCAGTCATGAACGGTGTCGTGCTTTTTTCTCTTACGGCCACCCGAGGTGCTCGCCTGCGTTTCAACGCATTCACCACTTGTTGCATCGATATTCGTGTCCGGTGTTCTACATATGTGTAACAAGCTTGTGCTCTATATTTTACTTATAGCTTATATTTTTCTTTATTTGTACTTACATGCCACCACCACGAATCGGTTCCTTCTTATGGACTTGTTTCAAGTGAGTGCTTAGCGAGGAAGTGGAGTAGTGGAAACTAAGGACTGCTCCACAAATGGAGCAGGTAACTTGCTTACCATCACTGCACTTCGTAAAAAAAACTCCACACCCAACTTTGTTTTCTTGCACTCATGTTCACAAAAACACACAAAATTTATAAATTCTTATTTTTTTTTTTGACAAATAACACTTATTACAACGATCGAATATTCGATTTTAAGAAGTTATTCGAATAATCGTAGCTTTGCGACTATTTGAATAATCGAAGAGAATCAACTATTCGAATAGTAACATTCGATTTCCAATCGTACAAACAATTGCCATTCGAACGTTCGAATATTCGAATAATCGAATTATTCGAACAATTTCAAGAGCTCTAGTAGTTACACCGTTAAAGTTAAATGTGTTATCAATATCATAATAGATATTATCGTTATATTCTATATTCTCAATGTAATTGTTTATTTCCACAATGCTTTCAACAAAGAACTCTGCTATTTGATTTTTATCTTCAATATATTGGACACCATGATAATAATGTTATATCGTCTTTTATACCCTCATAGAAAACCGTCTGTTTTATATATATCCAGATTAAATTGCTATCGGATTTGTTAGTTATAATTTTATTTTCCATATCGCAAGCTTAGAGTGAAAAGTTGCTAAGTCCACTTTATATGAAAACTCATATTTTGATATAGGAGGCTAGAGAAATTGAATACGCGTTGTTTCGAAAATTATAAAGGTACTTGTTTTATTTTTTCCTCTTCATAAGCAATAAAAGGAAAATTTGCTAAGTCCAAAAGAAGCACCACAAATCCGATAAGGCCAAAATAATGCGTCATCTTTTAATAAATATCGAATCCTTCTGATTCTTATGGAGTTTTGCTTTGCTTTAAACGCGCAAAATGTTTGATTCAAAGTCTTGCGAAATAGTTAAAGAAAATGGCTATAGGAGGATTTTTTCCTCTCCTGTAAAATTTTTAAAATGAGACTTAGCAACTTTTCTTTCTAAGCTAGTGATATATTTAATTTTTTTTCAGTTTTCTCATTTTTTGTATTCTTTTTTAACTTTGTAATAGTCATATGATAATAAATTGTATGCCTCTGATTTTCTTTTATTTAGTTGCGTCAGTTCATAGTCATACCACTTATTCTTTATTTTAAGGTTTATTTGTTTCACACATGTCAATTTTTGCATACTGTTAAGCAAGCATAGATTTATGAATGCTACCATTTCCTCTAAATCAAGTTGATCAAATATGGAAAAATTGTAACATCTGAGTAGATTAATTAAATTATCACAACTACATATACCATTTCCTCTAAATCAAGTTGATCAAATATGGAAAAATTGTAACATCTGAGCAGATTAATTAAATTGTCACAACTACATATACCGTTCCCAAAAAACTATTTTTGACACCTTTCTGAGAGGGATTTCATTTCCTATATTAATATTAAACATTATTGTATCATGATAAGATATTCTGTGTCGATCAAGCCTCTTACGTGCAATATTTTTCACATTTGAGTATAGGAGATCAATCTTTGTCTCAAATTCTACTGCTATTCTGGTATTGAAATCTATAAGTTGGTGCATGGAAATAGAATTAAACAACTTATACAATTTCACACTGTGTGTCGATACTCTGTTCATATTAATATTAAAATCGCCAACAATTACGTCAAGAGTTTTTAATTGCACAATAATGCACCATATATTTCCGTTCGTGGATTTATTGTATTTTACCCTAAATCACAGTGAGTTATTAATGTACATAAGTACACCTCCCGTGGGCCTACTATGTGCATCACAATCGAATGCTGTAAACGATATTATACCTATTTCAGCATCAGTAATTTGATCTGTTATACTAGTTTCGGAACAAAGTACAATAGCAGGGTCAACTAACTCCACTAGTCTATAGATTTCAAGTTTATTGTGTACTAGCTTGTACCCCACGTCTTTATACGAATATGAAAAATAATTATATAAAGATTTTATATTTTACTGGCAGACCCGGCGAACTTCGTCCCGTCCAAAATTAATTTTTTTATCGAAACATTTTCACCAACAATTCACGTTGACAACTAGGGACGTTCCGATACCATCAAAGTATCGATACCTACTCAAATGAGTTTACTCAAATTGCTATTTCGATACTACTTATATGAGTCAAGCGAATGTATCGATACCTACTTATATCGATAATTTTTCATCCTTTTAAATGCAACAAAGCGAAAGTAATTTTCAGGCGTTTTCTGTGATATAAAGCTTTGCGGCACCTGAGTGGAAGATCGACCTATCTCGGAAGAAAATTCGAGAACGCCCTATCTCAGAAAACTTTTCAAATGCGCCCTATTTCAGAACTTGATTGGAAAACGGCCTATCTCAGAAAACTTTTCAAGAACACCCTGTTTCAGAATTCGGTTCAAAAACGCCCTATTTCAAATATTTTCAATATATTTGCAGTTGAGGTATCGACATGTATATTTCTTCTTTAAAAGCACTTAAAGTAATACGATTACTTAGACAAAAAATTCAACCTTTGAAAGGATCCCACAAAACTTTACGGCTATAAAGATTACTTCTACTTTTTTGTGGTATCACTAACTTTGTAAAAATATATCCACACTTTAGAATTTGGCTGTGTAATTGCTTAAAACATTTTTTTTTTTATGAAAACGAAGCAACTATTTTCCATAGAAAAAATATTATCGACAGGATATGGCACTTTCTCATATCGATTCGATACAAGTACTTTGCTTTCGATACCAAGTAGGTATCGAAACAGCGATTCGAGTAAAAAAAGTAGTTGGTATCGAAACAAAAGTATCGAGTACATACTCGTATTTACTTATATCGGAACATCCCTATTGACAACTTCCAGTGGCACATTTATCTGCTCCAATTAGGGTGGTCAGATGCGCTGATTTAATCAGTACATGTGCTGATTTTTTTCTATTGCACTGATTTTTAAGAGCAAGAAATCAGTACGCAAAATCTACTGATTTTTTGAGTTTGTACTGATTTTGTACTGATTTTTACATTTAATAAATACTTTTGTAAATTGGTGTAATTGACATTTACTTGAGGTTTACATGTTCAAAACAATGGTTTTTGAAAACTCTTATGTACATGTGAGCAGATTGAAAGCATTAATTAAATTTAAACCATTATTAAAAATGTGTCAGCTTGCAATTGTTTCGTTTCCTAGGATTTCGCAAAATAACAAACTGGATTCAACCCAACCCGATTTGCAATCACGATTTGCAGGTTTTACAGGATTTACAGGAAAAGCTGGTTTCGCCATTAATAAATCTTATGAAAGGTGGCTGGTGAATTGTAGAGCCTTTTCTACAATTGTAAATCGCTTAACCAAAGAAATCAAAACGCGCGATAAAGGTGTAAATATTTTTATTGGCGACGTCTTCAAATGTCGAGCTTTTTAGAGTAATTAATTCTTACAGCTAAATAGAATATGCATATAAGCAGAAAATTTAAAATATTTCCGTGGAAATGTCCTGCTATTTGACTTTGAATAAATTGAAGGTGAAATACCGAATGATTCTGTGAAATAGCTAAATTGTACAATGAGAAGTGCAAAGAGTATGATGGAGAAGTTGTACTTGTACATACATACATAGGTATGTGAGTATGTATGTACGTATGTACAAACATATGCACATGCATATGCATGGTAAATATGCTGCAGCGACACACAAAAACGATGACGAATGTGCGAAAACAGTGGGGATGAAAAAAACTGGAGCTCCAACGAAGACAATAGCTACATACTGCAAAGATTTGATGTGTAATGAGTGCTTGCGATGAGGGGGTGTGAATGCAAATTCGATGATAGCGACGTTAACTGGAAATGCAGGTGCGGCGACGATGAATTAGAGAGGAGGGGCGTGAACATACTCCCCCCTTGAAAGCATGGCTTTCAATGTGACTCAGCTAAACTCGAGTTGTCAATTGGTAGTTTAACTTCTACCACCCTAACTCTGCCATCGTCACCTGGCACAGTAGCTATAATGCGACCGATGGCCCATTTAAGTGGTGGTAAAGAGTCCTCCTTTAGTAGCACTAGGTCATTTACTTCAATATTGGGTGAGGCAGTGTTCCACTTCGAACGTTTTT